GCAGCAATAGTCTGAAGCTCAGACTACTCTGGTTCCTGATCCGGGCCAGGATCCTCATAACAGAAGGATGTTGCCCACACAGTCCCCACACTGGGATGGTCACAAGAAGTCTCAAGTGAAGCTGCTGCAGGTGCACTGACATCCGCAGGTACACAAGCAGCACTGGAGGGAACTGCAGTCTCCAGGGTCAGCTTCAGTTTTTTGACTGAGCTGGACTTGGCATGTAGGGACAGTCCTTGAGGAAGTGCTGCCCCTCACACCTCAAACAGACCCCTCTCTCCTTCCTTTTCCTCCACACCCCCTCCTGGATTTTCAGCTCATGCCAGGGGAGAGTGTTGGGATTCAGGGGGTCTATTGGAAATCGGACGTCACGTGGCAAGTTAGGGCGCCGGGCAGGGGTAGAAGAGCGACGTCCCTTGCTCTTCCCCTGGCTGCTGGAGGCTGTGCTGGAGGAAGACCCGGCCTTCTGGAAGGCTCCCAGCGCAGCCTGCAGCTGCTGCATGGTCGCTGCAACATCTGAAACAGCAGCTGATGCAATCCCATCTGGCGGTGTACCAGGCCGGGATCCTGAATCAGAAGTTGTTTGAGACCCTGCATGCGCAAAGGCCGCTTTTCCCTTTCTACCACCGCGAGGGAAAGCGCCTTTCCTCCTGTCACTGGAGGGGGCCTAGACATGGAGCTTTGCTTCCATATCCAGGGCTGCACGGCCAAAGGATCTCCAATCCTTATGCCCTGCGTTGTACAATGCAACAAAAAACTTCTCAGGCGCAGCCCTGCAGAAGTTGGTCAATAAATCATCATCGGACATGATCAGACCACGGGTGGAGGTTAGCTGTTCAAACTCTGCAAACAAGGATTGTAGACTGCCGCTGTAGTGCTGCTGACCCAGACGTGTAATCTTGTCAGCAGCCTTGCGTGCTCTCTCCTTGTCTGCAAAGCGTTCCTTCAGGGCCTGCAGAAATTTCCCCACTCCCAACGTTGAAGCCCAATCCTCCAATGTTTGTTGTTGACCGCTGGCTGTTGACACAGCCCATTTCTGGGCTGGGCCTTCCAGCAGCCCCACAACGGTGGCTACTTTCTGTTGTTCTGGGCACACGAAACCTTTCAGATAGGCCAGGGTTCCTGCAGCCCAGTCCCCAACATCAGTTTTGGGATCATCGCCCCTGAACTTGTTGGGTGCAGGGATTTTGGGTCCTCTCTGATCCCCTACAACAACAGCAGCAAAAGTGGGAGGAGGTTTGACTTTAGCCTGGGAGGAGGTAGAGGGAGATGACTTAGGAGAACCATGAGGAGAGGAGGGAGGTGAAGAAGGAGGGGAATACGGTTTAGGTTTGGGAGAGGAAGTAGATGGTACCACAGGGGCAATCAGGCGGGCTGCTGTCAACTGAGCAGTCAGATTTTGGATAGCGTCCAGGATCTTGGACTGCTGAGTCGCAAATCGCCTACCCTGCTCTCCAAGTCCAAGATCCTGGACGCTATCCAAAATCTGACTGCTCAGTTGACAGCAGCCCGCCTGATTGCCCCTGTGGTACCATCTACTTCCTCTCCCAAACCTAAACCGTATTCCCCTCCTTCTTCACCTCCCTCTCTCCAAACGCTGTATACGATCATCCCAGTTAGTAAAATGGCTGGCTGTAGTCTTGTTTTGCAAAAGTACCAGCTCAGCCAAGTACCTTGTACACTGGGCTACCCTCTCATCTGAAACCGTTTTCTCAGCTTGCTGCAGCAGAAACTCTTTCCTAGAGGCATCTGTTGCAGCTTCCAGTTCAACTGCCTCTTGTCTCTCTGCCTCTGCGAGCAGCGCCTGTTGCTCTCATAATTTTTCCTCAATTTCTTTCTTTCGCCGCTGCGCAGGGGTGAGAGGAGGAGGAGGAGTAGAGGGGGAAGGTTTCCCTTCCTCCTTGACCACAACCTCTACCTGCCCCTCACCCGATTTAGCAGTGTTAGTCATTTTCCCTTTCAGAAACAATTAACAACAGGGTTAGATAGCAAGAGGTGCAGCAATTTACAATCCACTCAGACACTTAGAAATTGCTGCAGCATCAATTCACAGGGTAAGGTGGGTTAGTAGGCACAAGCAGTTAGGGTTAGAACACAATCCCTGGGGTCAGTAATCAGACTGACTGAAGGTCCAGTAAAATCATTCACTAACGATTCCCTATACCTGATACTGAACCATCACTGAAATCAAAGCATACAGTTTCAGTGCATTCCAGAGATCACTAACATTCTAGAGCCCATCAGAAAACAGAGATGATCAGTGGTAGAGACGGATACAGACAAGAACCAACCAGAACAGGGCAACAAGTAATAGCGATACAGTAGAGTAGACCCTGACAGCCCTGAACTCAAATTTCGCCACTGTTGACATCATTCGAAAGACCCACTGACACAACGATTTTCAGTATTTCACTGTAACTACTCAAGTACACTGATTCTGGGCTAGCGCTTTGGCGCAGATGACAGATATTGGATTGCGATTAACCCCAGACTGCCAGACTTGAATTCTGACAAACAGTATCTAAGTTTTTACTGACCTTAGATAACACTGGCTAAAAATAGATTCAGCGCAAAACTGAGATTCACAGTATTACTACCTTTTCTGTATAGAAGTCGCAGAATGATCATACAGGGTGCAACGCAATATTGTCATACAGTCCCAGAACAATTTTGAGTCAGAACAGGTCAATGAGTGGGAAGATATGAGTCAGCGTGAGGAGGAAGAAGTTGGCTATGGTTGTCTTGCAGTCTGACAATTTCCAAATTCAGACTCTACTGACAAACAGACCATCAATTCAGACTCTACAGACAATAAACTAACCGCTACTCAGGGATTCACACGGAACACACTCACTTGCAGTGTTTACTTTAGTGGATGATGAAGTTCTGGCTCTGGCTGATAGAACCCTGATCTCGCCACTTTCATGCAGACACTCCACTGATCTCCACGCGTAGAATCTCCTGAAACTTGTTGGTCTTGCCCAGTACCATTGAATCTGGCCCAGTGGCACTAGAGAATTTTCCTGAAGATATCCTCGCCACTGCAGAGGTAAGCCGCTGGTGCTAAATTTCGGGGGAGTTTTGCCAACTCATCAGGATGCTGAGCCCTTTGCAGTCTGCGGAGTCCCCTATATTATGAACTTGGTTGTCTGACAACTTTCTCGCCACTCACACACCAAGTATCTCACACATGCCCATACATGCACAAGACAAAGTGGAAGAGAGACAAAGTCCAAACTGTACACAGACCAGAGATAAGCAGCGGAATAGCAGCCATGCACAGATGGGGAGAATACACACAGTGTTTCTCTCTCTCTTACAAACTCCCAACAACCAATCACAAGATGACACTGCGAAGATCACAATTGGAATATGACACTGGAAATGAGCCAACTCAACTCAATTAACCCCAATTATCGTTACAGAGTTTAACCCAGTGTCTCGCCACCTCAGCACTCAACTCCACACACAACCCCACTCCCAGAGTCCAGCGCTACACTGAAATAGCCTCCCAGAGGCCAGCGCCATCCACCAAGATGAAGATCATGAACCGCATTGTAGTCCTCAGTGCCGATGAGCCACTCTGACGATGAAGAAGGCAGCTATGGCTGACGAGCTGCTACCAAAGCAGCTGCGGCCACATGTACCCCACGAAGAGCCTCCAAATAGCCCTGCCTGGCGCAGATACCCCCAGAGGGTAGATGCCCTGAGACTGGCCCCAGCTATGGCCGTCTCTCAGGGGCTGGCTATGGCTGCCTCAGGTAGCTGAAGTCTCAGGTGCCGCTGTAGACTCTCAGCGCTGCAAAACTTCGTTGGCCACCAACGCTGTCCCGCGAAAATGAAAAGCCCCAAAAAAGTCCTGAGTCGGTGGGCCTAACCTATCTATAGACTCTCTAGACCTAGACCGGACGTCCTAGGGGTAGCCCGGGCCTGCTATAGGCAGTTAGGGTAGCTGTAGGAATTCGGTTAGTACCGGGCCTGTATTTTCCCGGATTTGCAGATCTGTCCCTCACGAATTTCCTTACGGCAGGTCTCTCGGTTAGCCCTCAGCCAAACAAAATTACGAATCTAACCTACCGGTTAGTGTACAGCCTGGCAGTTAATCTCGGCAGCAGAAATCAGCAAGTCATTGCACCTAACTGATGATACTCGACGTCGTACTCCACCTTAACCCCGGTCGAGGTTACCCATAAACGACTGCCCGACAACTGATATCCTGAGGTAGTGGGGACCACCAACCACTGCTCTCAAGCTACCTGTAACGAAAATCAAATCAGACTAAATAGATATACATACGTATATATCGATATATCGGGCACTCAGTCGGGGGGTGGGGTGGGTTGGGAGCGAAGGTGAGGGGATGGCAGGTGTACTGTTGTGCCCTCTGAAACGTTTCCTGGTGCCGATCTATTGTTAGGAAGTAAAGGGCACGGTTACCTCAATAGGGCAAGAATTTCACAGCTAAGATGCACACAGGGTGGAAATCTGTAGGAGATGCAAACTGGGCCTGCAGCTGAATGATGGCTGTGTCAGTCTGACCTAGCTCATGTCAGATTCATATTTGCCAGACCATAGATTCATCTCTCTATGGTCAGACCTTTTTTTTTCCTTTTTTTCTTTTCTTTTTTTTTCTTGTTTTTTCTTTTCATTCATCAGACTCGTATCAAATAGACGTATTGGACTCTCATGTGTGCTCTCCGACTCCAAAACAGAATCTCAAAGCTTTCAATTTGAGACTCTGCATTCTTCAGTGGTTTGTCATTTATCCACACACGTAATTAATCTACATTGCTGCAACATCAGAAATTTTTTATCAATGGTCTTAAAACTCTAAAAAACTCTCCAAATTTCTTTCTTTCTTTATTATTATTATTTCTTTTTAATGCATGTGTATGATCATCCACCACCACGTACTTTTTTTTTTTTTTTTTTTTTCTCCCGTACATCCTTTGCAGGCAGAAGGGAAATTTAAAATTTTCAAAATTTTCAATTCTCAAAATGCAATTCAATTGAATTCATTTGCATCAGCTACTCCCCACGGGAGATTTGGGCTCCGGCTCGCAGGAACAACGGGGAAACGAGGAGGAGGAGGAGGAGGAGGAGGAGGAGGAGGAAACAATTAATTTTTCAGGGCCATCATTATGCTTGGATGCAATCTCTGTTTTTCCTCCTCTCTCTCTCTCTCTCTTTTTTTTGAAGGCAAAAAGCAGCGAAAGAACAATATGCAGGTCGACCTCATGTCATACGTATCGAATATTGACGCACGCAAGACAAAACCGCAGACGAAGCGCGGAAGATTTGCACACTGCTCTCTTCGACATAACGAAAAAGAAGAAAGAACAAGATCCATCCACATAAAATAAAGCAGTTTCTTCTAGAACACGTCGTCGTCATCATCGTCATCACCGCCGCCGTCGTCGTCGTCGTCGCTAGCAAGCATTCGCACCATCCTAATGGCCATGGTTGCCGCGAGTTCCCGTCGCTGGCGATCAGGCATGCCTTGTCCCCGCTCCCGAACCATTGCCATATCGGCTAAGAGCTGCTCAAAACCGTCAATCGAACTGCCGTCTCCTTCATGTTCATCAGATACCCCATTCCTTTCTCCATTTCTAGTCCTACCCCTACCTTCCCGTCTGCCCCTTCCATTAGCCACATCAGGTGCTGCGTCCCGGGAGCTTTCATTGCGCAATTCTCCACCCTCGCGAGCAGCCACAGCAGCACTAGCAGCAGCAGCAGGAGGAGGAGGAGGAGGAGGCGTGGCAGCCGCAGTCGAAGTATTGGCAGGAGCACACGGAGGAGGAGAAGGAGGAGGAGGAAGAGATGCAACAGCGATGGGAGTATCGGCAGGAGCAGCAGCAGCTGCAGCAGCAGCTGGAGGAGGGGGAGGAGGGGAAGGTGGGGAACGAGGATAAGTAAGGGACAGTTCTGGATGTGATGTATTTGCTGCCAACGACTCAGAAGAGGCTCTTTGATGTAGATCGCTTATCTCCAAGTGCTCGCTCGAAGTCTTCTTCGTCGTTTGTGGTGAGTCCTCCCCGCTAAAAGTTTCCCACTCCATCTGACCCGAGATCCCCTCCTCATATACGCTGCTGCTCTGTCCCTCGTATGCGAGATTCGCACCAACACGATCCGCATCTTTTGCACCCATTGTCAATGATGAGGGAGATGGTGGCAAATGAGCATTGGCGCCGCCAGAGGACAACACCTGTGAAGAGCGTTTCGCCGACGAATCTCCACCACCTTGCATTGGCGAAGTTGGTAAGAAGCTTGGCGCGGGTACAGAGCTTGGACCTGGTGCAAAGCTTGGAACTGGCACAAAGCTTGGAGCTGGTCCAATGCTTGCACCTGGCCCAGAGCTTGGACCTGGTGCAGAGCTTGGAGCTGGTGCAAAGCTTGGAACTGGAACAGAGCTTGGACATGGTGTAGAGCTTGGAGCAAGTGCTGGAGCTGCTGGTGTGCCACTTGGTCCATGATCCAACGAAGCGAGATCATCATGGACTTCTTGCTGAATCCATGACTCCGGAACCCTTGCACTCGACAACAATTCATGGGGATGGTACTTCCAATCATCATCATGTTCATCATCATCGCTCCAAGTCCGCTCACCTGAAAAGAGAGAGAGAGAGAGAGAGAGAGAGAGAGAGAGAGAGAGAGAGAGAGAGAGAGAGAGAGAGAGAGAGAGAGAGAGAGAGAGAGAGAG